GCTCCCGGACAGGGACAGCCTCCTCCTCCTCCTCCTCCTCCTCCTCCCGGCCGAGGCAGCGCGGGTGTCACTGCTGGGAACTGCTGCCCTCTGGCGTTGCACGAAACAGCCGGAGCTCCCGCCTCACAAATCCAGATTCACTGCCACACGTAAAGGAAATGCCCCACGGTAACGACCAGCAGGTCCCAGGGCATTCAGATTTCAAGTGGGTTCTGGTCTTATGAATTTATAAAACACCTGCTCCTTCTTTCAGCACAGCCTGAAGGGCCTCTTGCAAGCCAAACTCAACCTAAAGCATGATTTTACCCAGCCCACCCCCACGTTTCAGAGGTAAAAGCACTCAGCTGTCGAGTCTGTTCAACAAAGCACATCTTACTGCCTGCTCTTTGTCACGGATCGTGAACATCACCAGGGAAGTGCCAGCATCCTGCCCCCAGCACGGGACCTGGACCAGCCTGAAGGAACTAAACATGTTACCCCCATCCCTGAGGGACCAACTGCTTCCCTCCTGGTCTCAGCCTTCACTGGCAGTGCCACTGGGAAGCTCTGCCAACCAGTATAAACACTGTGCAGCTGGGGAAGCCTCGGTGAATTTACAGCATGTTCTGAAGTTGAGCAAAGACTGATGCCTGCATATAAGTACGCTCTGCAGGAAATCTTGGCCTTGTTTTCCTTGAGGTCTGTGTTTACTCACGACAAAAAACAAAACCAGTGTAAAGGAAAGGGAAGACCCACTGTTTTTCAGAGCCCAGGTGCAGCCTGCCCTCAGCACAGCAGCACCCAGCTTGCACCAGGCCCACAGTGGACACATCACATCTGCCAACTTACTTGACTTCCTCACCAGCAAAATCGAACGTTTTGGTGATTGTCACTTTTCCTGAATCTTTTGGCTTCTCCTGGAGCTTATTCCCAGTCTTCTCTTCTTCAGCCTACAAAATACAGGAAGGAGAAAGCAAAATAATGTGTTTGTGGAGCCAGGCAAAATCACCATTCCATGGGGCTGAGGACCCAGCACAGACCTCAGGCAGCGCTGCAGTTTAGGCTGGGGGTCAAAGCATGTCACCCACAGACAAGAAAAAAGGACATAAATGCCCCTTCCACCAGAGTGAAATCCCCCAGTTTGGTTCCAGGCTGTCACTGGAGTTCTAGGATCAAAACAGACCCAAAACAAGAAGTGAAATTTTAATAAATGTAGGAAGGAGCACTTTGTGGTGGTTCAGAAAGGAAGCAAAAAAAGACTCATTTCTCCCAAATAAAACACCACCAGGCAGTAAAGCTGCCAGGGTGGATTCCACAAAAATATGTCGATTTTTTCTCAAGAATAAAGAAGAACACAACCCATCAGCGGGAAAAGCAAGGCTGATCTTCACACTTGTCAATAACGTCTCTTTAATTTGAGAGGGAAAATTCTTTATTAAGCAACTTGTCAACAATGCCTCTTCATTTACTCCCAGCTACAGCTTCTAAAAAAGTACATAAAACCCCTCAGACCCTATAAATAATCAAAACAAAGCCCCCAAATTCCTGCTCTAAATCAACCACGCACCACAGAGATCTTCAAGCAGACAACTCAAGTCCAAGTTAAGAAGAGAAGAAAGAAGCTGCATCTCTCCATGAATTATTCCAGGCTGTGGAGGAACTTCCACTCACATTTCAGCAACCTGCCCATAGAAGCAGAATTGCTCAGCAGAAAGATACACAGCTACACTTGCCCTGCAGCCTTCCAACAGTCACAGGAAGAAGCTTCCCACACTCAGAACCGTACTCAATACTTTTTTGGCTGACCATTTTCACCAACCCAGGGTCAGCGTTGGTGCCACCTTCGGCGTGAAAGGCTTGGCAAGGCAAGCACAGCCATTTGGTGTCATTGGGAACCAAACCCTTCTGAGAGCTGATCATCCCACACAGAATCCTCTGCAGACCACGAGCACCTTACTGGGGCTCACGGGGGAACGAGACAAAGGCAGGTCCAGTGTTGTGGCAAACATGCACCCCAACACGCAGCACCCTCCCGACCCCCCAGTGTGTGAGGAGGAAGGCAAGGCAGAGATGTCAGCACAGAGGCCCCTTCTGTTTCCCCACTCACACACACACAGATACACACACTCCCTTTTTTTTTCCATTCTGAGCACCAGGAAAGGCACAAATCCCCAGGAGAGCTGTACCCACAAGCACAACTCAGACCAAAGCTCGTGGTGCTGTTCCTGTGTCACAGGGAGAATCCAGGAGCAGGAAGGAAAGCCAAGGTTGCCCCATGGGACCCTCTGAGACGCTGGCAAGCGGCTCCCAAAGCAGCACTGCCACATCACAGACCCCCTCAGGTGCAAGGAAACCAGCACCCCCCAGTCTGGCCCATCATGGCCTACAAAGCAGAGGGGCAGGGGCAAACCCAGCCTGTTCACAGCTCTGCCTGACATCTGGTACCAGCCAGAACCCACTGTGTGCTCTAAACCCGCAGGCCCTGCCCACACTCCCAGGCCCCTCTTACCTTCTTGGCTTGTGTCCCCTGTGTGGCAGCCCCTGCTCTGGGTTTCTGTCCCACGTCACTCAGGAAACTGGCCCAAAGAGCATCCTCTTTCTTTTTTTCTTCCTCTTCTCTGCTTCTTTTCACCTGCTCTGCATAATCCACTTCCTCCTCTTTCTGCTCCTCTCCATTCTGCTGAGCCTTTTCTTCCTCTTTCTCGTCTGGCTCTAGCAAGAGACCTCCTTTCTTCCTCTTCCTGAAAGCAGACACACAAAAAAATTTATATATATATATATATATATAGGTGCTGCAACACTATTCCAGAGCTGAACTGTTAGCTTGAGTGAAGCAATGTGGTATTTCACATTCCCACCAAGACATTCGACCTGGGAAGTTCCCTCTAACCTGGGGGGTGAAGGTATTTAATTAAAAGATGCTGCTGCTCAGAAAACACAGTGAGACTGATGCAGGCATTGCCCCTGAAGTGATGCAGGCACTGCACATGTCTGCGAGTACACGATGTGGGCAGGCCCTGGCACAGGGTGCCCAGAGAAGCTGGGGCTGCCCCATCCCTGGGAGTGTCCCAGGCCAGGTTGGAGCAACCTGGGCTGGTGGAAGGTGAACCTGCCCATGGCAGGGGGTGGAACGAGATGGGCTTTCATGTCCCTTCCAACCCAAAGCACTCCAGGGTTCTGTGGTTCTGGGATGCTGCAAGAACCAGGAGGGGAGGAGGACTTGGGCTGGTCCGAAACCAATCTAAAATAACGAATATCTAGACGAGATTTTCTCCCACTGACGGGCGCTTTGCACTTAAGAAGGCTTATGGAAACGGAAGCAGCTACTGCGGGGGAGGGTTTTCAGGCACGGTCTGCCAGGCCTGGGGCTGCTCCCGACGCCGAACCGGGGCGAGGAGCAGAGTCCCCCCCTTCCCCCGCCCCTCCGCGGGCCGGGTCCCCGCGGCCGTACCTGCCGGGGGGGTGGCGGGGGCTCCTCCTGCCGCGAGGCGGCCGCGGGCTGTCCGCCGGCTCGTCCTCCCGCACCAGCTCGCTCTCGTCGTCCTCGCTGTACTCCGCACCTGCAAGCGCAGCCACTGAGCACCGGCACCGCCGGCGCCGCCGGGGCCGCCGGCCCCCGCCCGCCACCGCTCACCTGAGGGCACGTAGTCGTCGTCCTCGGCCGAGGAGTACTGATCCTGATCCTGATCCTGCTCCGACTCCGACCCCGACCCCGCCATGGTGCAGCCCCGGCCCCGCCGCCTCAGGCTCCTCCCGCCGCCGCCGCCTCGCGCACCCGCTGCGCCCAGAGCGCCGCCGCCGCCCGCGGGCGCCCCCTGGCGGGCGGGAGGAACGTCCTCGCCTACCAGGCGGCGGCGCCGCTCTCGAGGAGCAGCAGAGAGAGTCCTCCAGAGGGCCAGAGCGTCCCGCCAGTTCCCAGCATCCCCCGCGGCCCACAGCGGTTCCCATGGCAGCGCGGGGGTGGGCGGGCCCCGGCCGCGCCGAGGCGAGGGGCGGTTGGTGAGAAGTCCTGCCCGTCACCAGGGAACGCCTCCCATTGGCCGGGCGGGCGGAAGGGGACGGACGGAAGGGGCGTTGGCGGATGGCGGCGGGGCGGCGGGGATGGAGGGCGGCGATGCGGGCGGCGGGGGCCTCCTGCAGCAGATCCTCAGCCTGCGCCTCGTGCCCCGCGTCGGCAACGGCACCACCACCTACTCCAGCCGGCTCTCCACCTTCCCAGGTACCCTCTCGAGGCGGGGCCCGCCCGCCGGCACCGCCGCGGGCCCGCGGGCCCCGGGCCGCCCTCACAGCCCTTCTCCCCGCAGAGATGTGGTACGGCGTCTTCCTGTGGGCCCTCGTCTCCTCCCTGGCCTTCCACGTCCCCGCCGCTCTGCTCGCGCTGTTCACGCTGCGGCACCACAAGTACGGCCGGTTCATGTCCGTGAGCGTCCTGCTGATGGGCATCGTGGGACCCATCACGGCCGGCACCCTCACAAGTACGCGGGGGGCTCTGTGGCGAGCAGGGGTCGCCTCCATGCGGCGGTTCCCCGGCACGGAGATGGACGTTCTGGCTCTGTGCCCCCCCCCTTCCCCCGCGTTTGCCCCTGTTCCCTGCCCCGGTTCCACATCCCGAGGCCTCCCGGCCGTGCCCGCGGCGCAGCAGCGAGTGCCGCGTTCACAGCTCGGCTTTTCACCCCTCCCCACAGGCGCTGCCTTTGCTGGAGTTTACAGAGCTGCGGGGAAAAAGATGATCCCCTTCGAGGCCCTCATTTTCGGCGTGGGGCAGACCTTCTGCGTGGTGGTGGTGTCGTTCCTGCGCGTCCTGGCCACGCTGTAGCTCCCCCTGGGGCGGCCGGAGGACACGAACCCGAGCGGGGTGAGGGACCCGGCGCCTGCTCTGCCTCTGGAACAAATCCCAAATCACAGCTCGGGGCTCGTGCTTCCTCCACTGGTTTAAGGAATTGGGAAGGCCTGCTCCTGCCTCTGGTGTGGCTCGGAACTAAGCTGAAAATTGTGAATTTTGTTACTTTTTGGTAACATTAAGTGCCAAGTGAGACTTACTTCCCTGGAGGGTGGGAAGGTGGCTGCTGGAGGGGGAGGCCCACAGACCTTTCAGCAGTGATGAGGACAGAGCTGGGATGTGACACTGGCTGTGCTGGGGGGGGAGCAGGACCACGGAGTGTGCCCAGAGCTCACTTAGTGCTTTGACCTGCTGTTGCTTTGATCTCAGTGAACCTGAAGCTCTTTTAATGCGAATTTGCTTTAGATTAAAAAATTAATTTGTTTTCTTCCCAACTGCTTCGTGCCAGGTGGCAGTGTTAGTGGACTGGGGGAGCAGCTCCAGGGCTGAATCCCGGGGATGTGGGATGGCGTGGGCAGCCCCAGGGTTTGCTGTGCTGTGTCTGTTCCCAGCTGTGTCCAGCCTGGTGGGACTCTCTTCCCTTCTGTGTCTTGGCTGAGCTCCTTTGGTCTCCAGACCAGCTCCTTCTGTACCTGCAGCTCTCCCCGAGGCCTCTGACGCTCTGTGTGAAACAACTGGATGTGTGGTCTGTTGCTGGCAAGAGGTGTTTTGCAGGAGCTCCTTACTGAGGTTCAGTTTTAGCCCAGTTCAGGGTGTAAAGCTGTGCATTTTAGGAAGGAGTTCAGTGTGAATCCCTCTCCTTAGGGGGGTGAGGTCCCAGTGGTGTTTCTTACACTGAACCCTGGATCTGTGGAGTGCCCTGTGTGCTGTTTGTAGAGCCAGCACAGCCCTGGGGGAGGCTGGGCCTCTCCTGCCCTCTCTGGGGACAGAGGAAGTGAAAAAGCAGGAGTAGGGATCTCTCTACTGTCTTTCTACCCCCTTCCAGCTTCTTATCTCAGCACGTGTCTGGAGTGCCTGGTTTAATCCACAGGAACTACTCTGAGTCTTCCTGGATGGACCGAAAGTCTCTCATGGGGCTGGGATTGGGTGGGTCTGGCCTTACCTTTCAGGTGATGCAAAAGCAGAGTCCAGGCACCCGCTGTGCTCCCCTTTCCCCTGCCCCAGTGCCTGGCATCCCTCAGTAGCCACTAAGCTGATTGCAACTGGGAAAGCACTTTATCCACGTGCCCTGTGTTCCAGCACCAGGATGGTTCCTCTGCAGGAACGGGGCTGAGGAATGCAGGGCACAAAGGGGGCTGCTGCAGAGCTCAGAACAAGTGGAACATCGCTCAGTAAAATCACTCAGTGCTGGGCAAACTGAAAACTCCCTTTCTCTACCCATTCACATCTCCCAAACTCTTGCTTTGAGGTGGTTCTGGAGAACTGGAACTTGGAGAACTGGCAGTTTGACTACTGTTTGGATGTGGAGTGGTTTGAGTTGGTGGTGCCTCCCTGTGCCCAGACACTGAGAAATTTTTAGGGAATTCTCACATAAAAGGTGAACAATCAGTCAAACTTGCCAAAAGCTGCAAAGAGCCTGTGAAAATGTCAGCACTGAGGTGTCCTGGGCTGGGCAGCTGGGAGGCCCTGCCAGGGAGCCCAGCCAGGGCATCGGTCAAAGAAACACCTTCCAGAGAAGCTGCCTGTCCTGGGGAGCCCTTGGTTTGTGGGGGAGCTCATGGCCCTGCTCTCTGTGCAACATCCCCCCTGCTCCCACCCATCTTCTCTTGCTCACAACCATGGTTGTCATGAACAAATCTTTGTACGATCGAAAACTCTGTAAATTTTATTTTTCTACTGACACTTCTAATCCTGGTGGTGATTATCAGTAAATTCTGTAACTACTGAAGTGAACCATGTCGTGTGTTTCTCCTGCAGTGTGACAGAGGGGCCTGGGCTGTGTGTTTGGAATTGAGCCTTGCTCCTACCTCGTTTTGGGCAGGTTTCTCCTGCCAGGGGCCATCTGCACCAGGAAATGTTCTGACTCTGGTGGTTAATGATGTCTCCATTAGAGCAGGACCTGTGCCTGCAGCCGGGCACCACAGCCTGAGATGACATCTCACCTGTCGGGGTGGGCTCAGTTGTTGTCCCTGTCCCCGAGGGGACCTGCAGGGTCCCTGCAGCCCCTTGGTGCTGACCTGCTCCCGGCCCCTGGGCTGTCCCCCTCGAGATGAAATGAGTGTGCCCAGAGATGAGAACTGGCCTGAAGAACTCACAGCCGAGTCGGGGGGCGTGCGGGAGGCTTTATTGGCAGTAAAAGGTCAGCACGTTCTCCTGGTTCCCTCGGGTGAGGATGACGGGGGGTCTCAGGTCCTGCGAGAGGGTCTCGAGCCAGGCCATGTAGAGGGCGCTGGGGCAGCGTCCCTTCCTGCCGATGGGCGGGGTGCTGCGGCACAGCGGGGCTGTGAGCGGGGCAGGGACAGCCCCTCCCACTGCCCTGCAGGTGATGGGGGCAGCACCGCGGCCTCCCCCCGACAGGACCAGGCCAGACCCCTTGGTGCCTTCAAGGGCTTTTCCCTGCGTGGTGGCACCGTCCCACCACAGCATTAGGGTGCCTGTCCGGGATTTCCCCCCCCCAGGAAGGGGCGAGCATCCAGAGGGGCAAGAAACGGGCGTGAGGGCACTGCTGGCACCTACATGGCTATGAGTGCTGCATCCCGAGAGTAATCCAGCAAAATCTCGTTCAGCCTCACTTGTCGGAGCGACTGCGGAGCGAAGAGAGTTGGCAAACACAAAAAGACCCAGTTTTGTCTAAAAAGCAGGAGACCCTTTTCAGGACCCACCCCCCCAGGACTGGTGCTACCTTGGCTCTGTTTTTGTCAACCTCCTCATCAGAGATCTTCCAGGGACAGCCCTGCCTCATCTCGTTCACCGTGGCCTCGTCCTTGAAGCCGTCGTTGAGCCGGAAGGGAGCGATCAGGTCGTCGAACCTCTTGATGCTGCAAGACAAGCAGATGGTGAGTGGGAAGAGGGGCTGGGCGGGTTTGGGGGTGCTGGGGAGGCAGGGGAAGGGTGCTGTTACTGCTCTGGCCGGGGTTTCTGGTTGATGTCGGGGAGGATGTGGACTTCGTGGAAGCCGAGGCGGAATTTGCTCAGCAGAGAGACAATCCTGCCCGAGGGAAAAGGACACATTTACCCAAAATTAAGCAGGGAAGGGCAGCTCTGGCAGGGACCTGCCATGGCAGAAAGCCCTGCTGCTGGCCTTGGTTTGGTTCCCACTCAGCAGTCACACAGATTTTCAAAGGAGTGAGGCAAGGCAGCCCACTCAGAGCTCACAGATCCCACGGGACTCGGAGCGGGAGGGAGGCAGCTCCTGCCACCACCCGTGGGGACAGCGGCAGTGGTCGAGGAGCTAAGAGGGGCTGTGGGGCCATCAGCACTTACGCCTTCCTCTCCTCATCCATCCTGTTGATCTGCCCCCCGACAAACACCCGGGTTTTGCACTTCCCCCACCGCTTCTTGCGCCCCAGAAGGTATGGGATGAGCAGCGTGAGACCTGTCCCAAAACACGCCATGGGAGACGCGGCAGGAACCCCCAGGCTCAACAATGCCCTCCTGATGCCAAAGGCCAGGGATGCCCTGGCACCCCTGGGTGAGGACAGAGCCCTCCTGGGCAGCACGATGGAGGTGCTGGGCTCACAGTGGCTGGACAGGTGGGCAGCCACAGCAGCCCAAGAGGAAGGTTACCTCCATCATCAAAGAGCCAGTAGATGTCGATGGTCTTCTTGCCCTGCTCGCTCTGGAAGATGGTGCTCGCCTGCTGCTCGCCAGCCGAGGTGCTGGAGTTCACTGCTGGGCAAGAGGGTCAGCAAGGGATCAGCACGGGGCACCGCCAGCTGCAGATTAAAGGCACCACTTCCTCCTGGTCCCAGCCCTGCTCCCCTCACTGCAAACCTGGCTCCCTGAAAATAATCCTCAGAGCTGGGGATGCTCCAGAGGGCCCGGAGCCAGGATCAGCCTACCTGAGCTTGGGGCTGCTCTGCTGCCAGTGCCGTTCTCGGGGTGCTCTGCTGCCTCGAACGTGGGGTTAACTGAGGAGGGAGGAGGAGAGCCCGGGCAGCGCCTCACTGCCCCAATCCCCTTTGATCCCCCAGGACTGGGACATGGTATGGGGACATGGTGCCGGCTGGCACATCCTACAGCTCCGCTGAGCACCCCAAAATCACTTACCATATGCCTGCGGCACTCGGGAAACATTCAGCCCTTCCTTCATCCGCATTAAGCACACGCCGTACTTGAAATCAAAGGCGTCGCTGAAGGAGGGAGGAGAAGGTGGTTAATGGGGCAGCGGTGCCAGCCCAGCCCGCAGTGGCCACACTGTCCCTGTCAGCAGCCACCAGCAGCTGCTGGTGCCCGGGAGGAGCGGCCTGGCCGTACTGCAGGATGCCCACGTAGTCCTCCAGGCTCTGCGGGGACGCCGTCCGCCAGTTCCTCTTGTAGCCCAGCACCAGGATGTTGGGCCTCATCTTCCCGAGGCCGGCAGCCTACGGATAGGTGTCCCCATGAGACCCTTCCTCAGGGACAGATGGACACAAGGGGTGTCAGTCCACGGGGCAGTGACACAGAGGGGGTGACTGCAGGTTGGGGAGGAGGGTCAGAGCCCCCCGAGCTGTGATGAAAGAGGAGGGACCCTGGTGATCACAGCCAAAGGCGGCTCTACCTGGAGGAGCATTTGGACTCCGCTTCTCAGATCCTCAGCCACCACATCCGTGTAGAAAGCCTTGATCTTCCTCTTCATGAGCCACTTGGCGTGTCCATCTGCCGTCAGCCGGGACTCCGGCATCTTCTGCTTCCGCGGGCCCTGCAGGCAGCAGGGGCAGGGGCTCAGGCAGCCCCTCGCAGCTGCTGGTCCTGCCACCAAGGACCTTTAGCTCCTCTCTTCCCAAATCATTGGTAAGGGGTGGATGTAACCACTGCACACGTGGGAGGTTGCAGTCACAGCAAGGAAAGCAGTGAATCCGGGGGGTGGGCAGCCAGTGCACACGACGCCTGCAGTCCCACATTCCAACCCCCACCCCGTGGCCCACCAGGACACATCTGGATTTCCCAGCCCACTGTCTGTGGGGTGGCTGGAGCTGCCAGGACAAGGAATCAGCTGGTTTCTGCAGGTGACTCACGATCAGCACGTTGCCACAGAGCATCAGGCTGAGGTTCTTGGTGAAGGTGCCCACGAAGTCCACCAGAGCTGGGCGGAAGTTGGGCGGGCCGGTCAGCACCAGGCACTGCGGTCTGCGGACAGCAGGGAGGAGTGAGGGATGGTGCTTTGGAGACAGCTCTGGAAGGAACTGCAGCTCCCCTCCCATGCCTGACCAGTAAAACTATAGGGAGCATCTTTAGGATGAGAAAAAATGATATGGGTGAGGATCCAGTCTCACTCTTTGGTCTCATC